TTTAATTTGGGGTAGTAGTCAGAAAAGTAACTGTAGTGCTCACAAAAGAGTAAGAGGATGTCGCCAGTAACGAGGCCAAAACCACCCACAGAAACGCAGAGTGGCCTCCTCTAGAGCCGCGCTGCGCTAACTAGAGGTGAACGGCGTATTCACCACTCAGGCAGGTGCCCAGTGCAGAGCCCGGCTGCTGTTAGTTCTGTTTAACACGCGACATTTGTCTCTGTCCACCCCTCACCGAAGCCCCACACGGTGCGGGGTCCCTCCGTCTCACCCTCCCTGCCGGGCCACCTGCAATGCTCTCCCAGCGCAGACTGCCTCCGCTATGAAGATAAGCAAAAGATAAAATCTGATGCAGCCATTAATTTTCCAATGCATCAGCCGCCAGCCTCTGTCACATAATTACCGACGGTTCCAGTGGAGTGAGAAATTTCAGCCTGCTTGCTGCTCCCAAGTGGTCCACTTGTTAGGTTCTGGCTTTTGAGATTACATAGCTCAGATTAAACTTTATGTACTTTTATATAGTGGAATAAAAGAAGGAGAGCAGTTCCATCAGAGCTGCTGTGCCACAAGGGAGTCCTCCCAACGGGCCGTATAAATCCAAAATTGGTTCATCGCTGGATCTTGGAAACGCTCCTCCTTATGACATTTCTGCGAGCCGGTGGCGGCTTCTCTCCCTCCGCGCACACAGACCAACCGTTGTCCCACTTTTTATGGCCGCAATTTGCTAACACTATGGGTGCCTAATGACAAGATTAAATTTTTAGAGCACCTTCTTTAAGTGTAAGACAAGGCTTCCTAAACCCCATGCAATTTGTTGCTCTGCTGACTTTTAGATACGCTCCTCACTTCATCATATGCCTGGTGCATTAAACAGTGGGTCCCCCCGTCTCCCTGGCAGATTGAGATCTAAGGGGGAAATTATTCTCCCCCTTGATGCACAAGTGTTTCAGCTCCCTGGTAGCAATAAGGAAAGTAATAGGGCTGGCTCAGATTGCCTTGCACAGGCTTGCATTGCGTCAGCCCCATCCAAGCACTTGTTTGGTTGATTTACTTTATGTTCTATTAGAAGTAAGGAGCGGATACAAATCCTTAATTACATTTTGAAAGCCCATTCTGGGTATTTTATTTACTTTGAAAGCACTTGCTGGAATAAGTGCAGTAAAGGCTGCCTTGGCTGTCCCCGGCGGAGCAGGAAGATGCTCCAACTCAGCACATCTGGTTTGCGGGGACGGCCGGGGGCGCAGGGAGGAGGGAAGGTGTGACCATGCCATACAGCATCTTTTCTACTCCCAGCAGGATGTTTTCTGACAAGCAACAAACTAAACAAACAAACAAAGGCCTAATTCGGGATCTCAATTACCGTCTGTTAAATTTACCGACTGCAGCTTCATCTGTGAAAGAATTTTAAAAGTTTAGCACCGAAACCCGGGCACAAGAAGCAAAGACACTTGCTGGCTCAATGGCAAAGATGATGAACTTGCCACGAACTCCTCATGCTGATATTTACGAAATGTTAAATCTTCATTTAAAAATGTTCCCTTAAGCTGGGTGACATGGCAATGAGTACGACCCACCACTAGCTCAGAGTCTCTGTTGCATAACAAGATTTAAGGTTTATGACCTAAAAACAATTGCTTTGTGTCTCAGGACAGTCTGCGGGAAGCTGCTTCACACACATGGTATTATTTAGATACCCAAATGGAGTGATTTGTGTTTGGCACATCTGGTCTACGACTGCCAACAAATGATTCTATGGGCTAATATGGACGAGTAACAGGCTGATGAAGAAACCATGATTGTAAAATGATTTTAAAAATATCTTATGTTCTTTTTAATACAAAATAAAAATAAGAGAATATAGTTATAGTCAGCGTTTTAATTCCTAGGGGGTTAATTTGAAAAAAAAAAAAGGCAAATTTACTATCAACATAACAGCATGTGCGGGTTCTTGTACAGAGGGTGTAGGTTGGCTACAGCCGGCTTCAATTTAAAACTTCCAGATAATGGGATTTAACAAATACGGTACTATGGATCCAAGCCGTTAGCAGCTCTCTGCTGTATTGATAGCCCTACGCTTTCAATCAGACCAAGGCTATGCTTTTAACTGCCACGCTAGTTCACGTTGATGATATACCTATAATATCAACTCAACAATGCATGTTCTACAACTACATCTACTGCTACCAGTACGACTACTACAGTGCATGCATTTAGTTCAGTCCCACAGATACATACACTCTAAGAACAGGCAAGGGGAGATGTGAAATGTTTTACGGGACGACAGGTGTTTTGTTTTTTAAGTAAGGGAAATTAATAAAAACATCAAAAGAAAGAAAGTGTACAAAAAAATAGAGACATTTCTCAAGAGTTGATATGAGTCGTTTCTTGAACCGTTTCGTCCGAACAAGCAAAAAACATGCAACCAGCTGCTACTAACAAGAAGCTGGACACTGAGAGAGGATTAATAGGTGTGGACAAACCTTCCCGCTGAGAGCGCTCAGAAGAGTGTTTGAGAGGAGGTGTGCACGTCCGAGTGTAAGAGAGGCCGGAAAGTATGCCTCAGAGACACCCTCTCTCACAGCAGCCCCAACCAAGCAAGAGAGAAAACAACAAAACATAACTGCTCACACTCACCATCAAGGTCAGTAGCTCACGTTACGAGATTTGTTATAGCTGGCAAGTATAAAGTACAGTAAGGGGTTGTCAGGGCGCAGGGCTCAAAGGCAGCACTGGCAAGCCGGGACTGGCGCCCAAAATCTGGATGTGCTGGGGGTCGGGGTGGGGGAGGAGCAGCTCCTGGCGCCGCGGCACCGCGCTGTCCCACCATGCTGCGTGCCGCCGGCCATCTCGGCGGGCAAAAGGTGCCCGTGGGAGCCTGCACCGCTCACCTGGGACAGGCGTGCACGGCTCCTCCCGGTGCCGAGCAGCGGGCGTCGGGCAGGATTACTGATGGCCGTATCGGTTTTGCCTCCAGTCCTCAGGGAGGAATAGTTGGTGGCAACAGGTTGGGAACTGGAAAAATCTGACTTGTCAATGAACCAAAGAGGAAGGAAAGAAAACCCTCTCCTGCCAAATTTTCCTTGTCTCGCTCTCCTGCCAAATGAATCCCTCCCATGTCAAATGCAAGATAAAAATGTCCCCCCCCCCCCATGATTGTATTTTAAAAAAAGCATTTACACGACAAAAATGTTTTACACGTAAAATATGTCAGGTGAATTCAAAAGAAACGTGACATTGATAGTGAAGTTGTCTAGGAGGAGTCTGCAGCATTCAGACTTTTAAGTTTGCTCATTTTCCATGGCTCAGGTCCCAATTCATTAAAAAAAAATACAAGAATGGACGAGGTTGTCAAAACCAGCTGAGGGATTCGGCAGCACAGTCCCACCCGGCGTGAACGGATGTGGCCAAACCCCCCCGTCTGCTTGAGGGACCTCAGCTATCGCCTCATCACTGGGATGTCGATTGGGCACGTGATTTGTAAAGAGAAGCATTGCTGCATTCACCCTGCCGGCACGTGGCCGGCTAAGCTAGACGTGAATTTATGAGTGGCACTGAGCACGAGCAGGGGGAAACGTCCCTTTCTGCTGGTTGTAGGAGATACCCGCTGTGACAGATAAAAGAACTTGTTTATCTAGCAAGGTAAACTGCTGACTGCATCCTCACATGCCGCAACAGAAAAAGAAGGGGCGAGGGCAGGGAAGACCAGGCAGCGCAGAACCGGGGCCGGGTGCTGCCCCCATGCAGGTAACTGCCCCCGCGTGGGCTCCTTTCGCTGTTAAGCAAACACGCGGGTTTCCTAAGAGGAGGAACATCACCCTGGGGAGAAACCGAGGTGGTCGGTGCCCAAGCACTGCAGCCCGGGGGGTTGGAGCGAAAGGGCTGCAGCTTCCTTGGAAGACCAAGATGAACGCCCGGAGGCGGACGCTTTCTGCGGGTGCTCAGCCCCACCGGAGGGCACCGGCGCCCCGGGCCGAGCTCCGGTGCTGCAGAGCCACCGAGCTGCCAGTGACGCCCGGACGGTGGGGAAGAGCCGGCAGGACGGGGCCGGAGAGCAGAGGAGGTCAATTTGGAGTGAGCTGGTGGGGCCGGAGCGCTGCAGAAGGGGCGGCAGTGATGGGCCCGTCCCCGGCAGCCTCTGGGCAAAGCACTCCCCAGCGAGCGGAGGGGCAGTGGGACAGGCCTGCCCAGGCATTTTCCGGCTCTTTTCCATTTACTGGCAGAAAGGGGCCAGTAGGGGCCAACTGTGCTGCGCTCTGTGCTTTTGGATTAGGCACACGTGAAGGAGGGCTGTGCAAATTTGCAAAGGGAAAAGAAAAACCCAACCGAAAAGAAGAAAAAAAAAAAAAACCCAGCCATTTTTCTTGTAATGAATCGGGCCCATACACTGTAGCGCAAGATCGATCGTACTCTACTGCTCCTGAATACAATTCACTACCATTGCTGGATGGAAGTGGCGAACCCAGGATGTCCCTTCCGAAAACCGTCTTTGGATGGAAATGACTCTACGTAAAACACCACTGTTCCCAGAGCACATTTTGCTGCAAATGCGAGTGGCCGTTGGGCCGGGCCGGTGACAAACCCATCTTCCTCCTTGAGATCTCGGGGCTGGGGCGGGGGGGGGGCTCTTTTGATTCAGTTTTGGGGTTTTGCCAGTTTTGTGCACGCAGGCAATTTTGAGGCTTGAAAGTCATTTCCAAACACCATACTGCTCTTTAAACTTGCCAGAAAGGGTGTTGTTAATTTAGGGTTAGATTTAGTTTCGTATTGCAAGTTCAAATAAAAAACAAAAACGAAAAAACAAAACAAAACAGAAAACCCAACAAAAGAAAAACCAAAAAACACTCAAATTAAAGACAAATGATTTTCAGGCACAGAATTGATCAATGCTCAGTTCAGTTGTAATGGGCACCAAAAGCACTCCAATTAAAAAAAATAATAATAATCAGGGAAGCAACGTTAATCCAGCCAAACCCTCTGTGCCTTGCTAAGGGGCAACTCACCAGGTCTGTTTGCACGTAAAACAAAACCTGAAGGGCAAAACATGAGGAAGAGGCAGAAACAATGAAGTCTGTTTTCCTGAAATCATATGCAAAACCAATCTCTTTTTTTTTTTTTTTCTTTTTTTTTTTTTTCCTCTTTGAGTTTGTTTTCCCCCCTCCATGAAGGGGCAGTAGGAAAAGCCGGGAGATGAGAAATCCCCACAACCAGTCTGGCAAGTCACCCCTTAGGCGCTCTCTACATGCCACAAGATGAAACTGGTACAGATAATCCTTTGTAGCCTGCAAGCAGTGCCAGTTTGCATGGAACGGAGTTCTCCTGGTGTCTTTCTTTGGCCTCCATGGCATCAGGCTCGCACTCGAGACACACCTGGGCCTGCGCCCTCCTCGTAACCCCTCACGCAGCGGTTTAGTCGGGTCTTTTCGGGAAGCGCCCGGTTAACCCACCGGGGCTGCCAGAAAAG